CTACTCTACATGCAAAAAAAAACGATATAAAAAGCTGTCATATCTGGTTACTGGCCTTTTTAATGGAAGAATAATTCCTATCTCCCCAGTCTACCTTCTGTTTTCTTGGTGTGGAAACAGCATTCGAGCTGTCAGTTATGTACAGCTGTTAAAGTACCATAAGTGAATAACGAGTCTTTGTTAGTTAGGAACCAACCAGTCACAAGGAATCAATAGTCAACTAATATTGTGGTCTGCGTTTCTGAGTCAAAATGCCCGGTCTTTGTTGACATATTGGCTCCTAGTAGGTTTGAAACTGTGGGTGGAGGGTTTGATTGCCATTAAAAACACTGTCACTCACTTGAAATACAGCTGTGTTCGATTGAAGAACCCAAAATGGGACGAAATCAGCCTCCTGAATTCTATCACTACTCTTCATAGACCAGTATTGCATGATTACTTGGTTTTGCAAGGAACTTCATTGAAAATCTATCAAAAAATTCTTTCACATTTACTATCTTACTTGTGATAAACAGAAATTAAAGAAAGCTTTTATTCTGCGAAATAAGCCATAGGAAATTTAACAGCGTTGTGTAATGGAACCGGCTTTTCAATATATTTGATTGCCCTACTTTCAATGATTAATAAGGTGTGAATTAGCATGATTAACTGGGGCAAAATAACTATTCTGTTGTTGCATTCAGTTCATTTTTGTAAATTATCACTGAAATCATTATATATATATATCTTGTACTGTCCAATCAATATGAGTTAAATAATCGTCCAGACTCCAGTTACACCTTCTACATTGTGAATATCTATCAACCCTCAAAAATCATCTATTGGAAGATGAAATCTACAATTATATATTTTAAAGTTTATTTTGAAAACATAATCTTATTGGCTATCGATTAAATAAGTTATTTAAGTAGGATTTAAATCCTCTCAGCTTTATGTCATACCCAGCTTGCTAGAATAGGATACCTGTTACAGTGCAATAGTATGCATACCAGGATAATTTAGATTATGAAGTTTATTTTTTTGTTTTCGATAAAGCCATTTATTTTTATTTTATTTGGAGGCAGGTGTGCAACTGATATTATACCTGTCTGTATTTAATAACCGTGCCACACTGTTTGAAAATACACTAAGAATCATAGCCAAACATTCTGTACTACAAATAATACTATTTTCTTAATATGGGACAGAAATTTGGCACAAGATAGACAATCACAAACAAAAAAAATGCTGTATTTGTACAAAAATCTATAGCCAAACGAAAAATAAGTCTACGCAAGGCATTTTTAGTTGCATAGTCAACTGGAATGTTTAACAAACGGCACTCAGAATTTATTGGTTCACCTCACGACTTTTTTAGTGTTTTTAAAATTGGAAATGCAAGGTAGAATAATAGCGTGTTATGTATGTAATAATTCGCTTTTGTTTTTACTGTTCATTGAGGTTTCATGAGTGATTGTTTTTCTCAGGATTTGAAATCATAGAATACATCTCTTAGTCTATTAAACTGTTTATTTTCAACAGTTAATGTGTGGGGATCTGATTTGTTCCAAGTTTGATTACGAATCGATATCAGTCAAACTTGAAACAAATCAAATGCCTACAAAATAACTTCCAAAAATTAATCTGTTGCTCTCTAGTGATTGGCTACAGGAAGGAGTTTCCTGAAGTTCTGATGAGAAGTAGTCACCAGTGGGCTCCACAAAATTGGATAAGGGGACACTTAGTTCGCGATGATATTGGTTGGGAGTCGCGCTAAGCTCATGAATCGTTAGAACTTGGAACTTATAAGTCATTGAGTCGGATTCCAGTGGCTGAATGGTCTATGAGCTTGATCTGTTAACGGAAGGTTCAAACCCCGTGTAAGCGCAATATCGCTTGAAATTAAGTCACGCGTAGATAAAGGCTATCCCGGTCCAGAACAAACAAGAAGCCGGTCACTGTCTCTCCGGTACTATTAATAAACAAATCAATAATTATATATACAACAAACCTAAACGGTTTCAAGAGTACAAAGTACAAAGCTTAACAGAAAGCAAGGTACCGCTATCAGAGCGGAATAACGTTAAAGCCAAAATTACGAACTAGCCGGAACCAGACATGACCGTTCAGGTAAGCAGTCAGTAGAAGAATGAACCCAAGTAAGGCATGGCATAAAGCAGAGAGTGGTTAACAGATAGACCGAGCATAGGCACAAAGATAGAATTTAATTGGCTACTTAACCAGGTAGGAAGATACAGATGAAGATTAATAAATAAGATAAACTCGACAGAACAATACAAAGTAAGACATGGGTCAGCAAAATAACAGTTCACAAAATACTCTGATTGGGTCATGAGTTCAACTATCTAACTAAACGGATTGAGGTAAAAACACATACACACAGTTCATTAAACAAGGGGGGATAGACACGTTAGGCATGGATAATTGGGTTGCAACAACGCTAGGCTGATCCGGGACAGGTTGACTTGATTCAAGGATGGGAATTGAATCGATCTTACACCCTGGTTCATGGGTACTGCCGACAAGTCCCACACTAGAAAGAAACAGCTGTCCAGTACATCCTGCTTTCTAATGGTTCTGTAATTCAAGTGTTGGTTTGTAGAGATTTGATTGGTTCAGGATTTCATCATGAGCTGACAGTCCGTTGTCAAACTATAAACTGTTTATGCTTAGCTATCTATTTTGTTACGCTGGTTGCCATAATAGCCCAGTTTACTGAAGGTGTTTGAAGCAACTATTGTAATTTAGGGTAACAGTGCATAACTTCATTTTAAAATATCCACTGCATTGCACCCAGCTAAGTTATTCTCCGACAACAATCCATTTAGGTTGGAGAGTAATGTGGACTCATTAAGAGTATACTCAGTTTATTTATTTATCTGAATGTTGAGCTAATTTTACCTCTGTGCGGCCCAGATCTAAATTTGGCCTATCACAATCTGAATAGTTAAAGCGTTTAAGTATCTGGCTTATGTCATATCTCTTGGCGAATAAGAGTTAATACTGCATACAACTTGGTAAAAAAAGATTTATTCTTATATTTATATTACCATATTATTCTAAGTCTACGTATTTCAATTTCGTGTACTTTTATCACTATCGTACAATTGTTGATGAGACTACCTGAGAATGCCTTGAGCTGACAAATCGATTCTGATGTTACGGGCAGCTTCCCATATTCTTACCAAGAGGTAACAACCTGATCCCGTTTTTACTATTTATTACAGGTAAAAAAGTAAGTAAGCCACTGGTATTATTGTGTTGAATCGACAGTTACGCGTCATTTTCTCACATAACAACTGATCACATAGTGTAATGATTTTGCGCGTCGGTGGCACAGTGGTTAGAACTCTGGTCGACCTTTCACATGGTCCGGGGTTCGAACCCCTGGCGACGCACACCCGATATCAATGGTCTGCCTGCAAAATTTGGGCTACCGATATCCATGCTGAAAATTCCATACTTGTACCAAAAATACAGTGTGGAATCAAGCTGCAATCAAAAATATAAAAAACAAATAATTGAGTGGTGGTCTGGAAAGTGGCTGGGTTTCACAGCCTTGATGATAAATTTCAGGGTTAGTAATCTTCAGATCACTGGTATGAATTGTATTGTAGGTAGTGTTTTCGTTTCAGCTGCAGTCATCACCAACTACACCCATTATCTGCAAGTTATGCGACTTTTGATTGGGATGAGTAGCGAAACGAAATCTGTTTGATTATAATACTCATTCTTGATGGCCAGAAAACAGTTACAAAAGTCGCTGTGAAGAATATTTTAAAAAAGCCTGTTTTTAAATTAAATTACTGAGACATGTCACCCAGAATCTTTAACCTTTATGCTCACTTTGCTATCAGCAGTCAAAAGATCTATTTTCGATGTAATAATAATAATTATTATTACTACTTTGTTGGGTTCCAAGTGGAAAATAGGCCTTCATCGACACTTCTCCTTTTTGTTCTATTTTCCTATGTCCTCTTTTACTGGGTCCACGTTTGCCCATAATCTCTTATCTCCTCCTCCCCAAACGATCCCCTCCATGTAATCCTTGCACTGATAACCCATCCCATTGAGATTCCACTCGGAAACTGGCCTGGCATGTGATATCATTCAATGACCTCCTCAGAGTGTGCCCAATCCATCTCATTTTCTCCTACATATTTGTTGAGCGTTCGGCTCTTGGTTGGTTGGAAGATCTACAACTGGCTGTTCAAAATGCGCTTCGTGATACGCCAAGAAGTAATTGACTTGACATTGATGCTGAAAATGCTAATCTTGTTCTTTATGCTGGCTGATTGCAGTGCAAATGATTTCAAAACTGGTTTCAGGATGATGAAGGCGTATCTTGCTTTTCCGACTCTGGTGTTAACATCTTCATCCTTTCCTTAAGTAGTTGAAATGATGCTTCTTGTCAGATAATTGAAGGAGGCGACCTCTGTTAAATCTCTCTCTTTGATGGTGATTGGTGCTGGTTGTTGTTGGTATTGGTTGGTTAGTTATCTTCATAACTCCTGTCTTCTCTATGTTCACTTGGAGTCCTGTCTTCGCTTCCAGCCTCTTTTGCCAGTTTGTTAGTTTTCGCCTGTAAGTCTTCGAGTTGTATGACGTTAGACAAATGTCATTTGAGAAATCCGGATCCTCTAGAGTCTTCTCACCGTTGGTTCAGCGTACTCCTGTTTCCTCGATCCCAGCGCACAGTCTGAGGCATAATTCAATCCACCACATTTATTAAATCTAAATGCAGTGACAAGTTAATCGTTAAATTATTTATTAACTTGAAACAATAAGACTGGTATTTTCTGATATACACTGTCTTACATCAAATTGCGTATAATTTTCTTACGATTTTAAGAAAATATATATTATGATATAGAGAACATATTGAGTTGAAATTATTGACTCTGAATATCATTACATCATGTTGTTGACGTTATAAAGCAATGATATATATATATATCTCCATTGTATTGTTATTTCTTGTGTCTTTTTATCTTTTAAAGGGGCTGATGTTAATCATTCTGATTCAGATGGTCGTACAGCACTACATGTTGCTGCATTCTGTGTACAAAAGTCAGATGCACATGCTGATATTGTTGCATCGCTTTTAAATCATGGTGCCAATCCTAACTTATCAGATAGTGAAGGTATTACACCTTTACTAGGTGCTTCCAATACTGGTAATTGTGTGGTCTGTGAATTATGCCTTGAAGCTGATGCAGATGTGAATATTACAGACAAGTTAGTTTTTATTGTTAGTTTTGCTTTATGAGAAATTATATATAATTAGGATTGATCCCCTCTAGCTATTAAGATGTACTTTTACCTATAAATTGTGAACTACTACAGGTTGTCTAGAGATCTAGGCGTGATTAAGAGGGATGCTTGCAAATATGCTTCGGAAATCAGAAATGGCTTTAAAAGTCATCCATCTTCATTATACTTACAGTGATTAACAGATATACCTTTTGTGTTGATATCACTCTACTCAAAAATAAGATATAAAGCCAATCAGATTTCAATATTATATATTGTGAGTGCTTCTCCCTGTGTTGTTCGACTGATGATTAGTGTGTAGACATAATTTTTTGACGTGGAGAAAAAATCCTTCAAAATGTCAAATGAAACCTTCTGTTCAAATGTTGGTTTGTAGGGATTTGGTTGATTGGTTACAGGATTTCATCTTGAGCTGACGTTGGTTAGAGAACCATTGGGACCTACAGGGAGTACTGGACAGTTGTTTCGTCCTTGTTTGGGACTCTTCATCAGTACGCCTTCACCAAGTTTCGAACCCAAGACCCTCTGATTACAAGGCTCGTATACCATTAAGCCACTGGGACCCGATCCATTGGCCCATTCACGATATAGCGCGACCCCTAGCCAATGTTTTCGGCGAGTATTTGTCCTCACACCCGACCTTCTGCACCCTACTGGTCACGACTTCCCACTGGAACTTCAGGTAACTACCTACCTGAATAGGGCCAGTCGCCAGTGAGCATCTCATTGATATTCAAGTATTGGTCCTGGTTTCGAACCCCGGTGGGTGCGTGCTGATGAAGGGTCCCAAACTAGGACGAAACAGCTGTCCAGTACTCTCAGGTTTTCCAATGGTTCTCTAACCAATATCAACTCATGATGAAATCCTGTAACAAAAGCTTCTGTTACTCTCTTGTAGATATCCTGAATCTCACAGATAATATTTCGTCGTGTAAAGTCAATCTAAGTTGAACTTAAATAGGTGATTAGGTATTACATTAGGGACTGTGTGTTTTGTCGGTTAATTATTACACCATGAAGAAGTTTACTGCAAAGCTGTTGACTAGACAGACAAGGAAATCTTAGCAATTGAACCAACTAGCTCAATGAACACAACCACATCACAATCATCCAAATGAACTAACAAGTCTATCTATCATTTCTGGAAGAATTAGATGTTTACAGTTCTTAAAATAGTCTGAATTAATTATATGAATTACTTTATTAGAAAAATTAGTGCATCATTTGACTATCAAAGTTTTCATCATCAATAATTAAAGCAGTTGTCTTTTTTTCTCTCTTCAAGCTGTTAATTCTGCTAAGTCTATTATTTAAGTGAGTTACTGGTAACCATCTATTAACGTGTGTCTTTTTTTACTGGGTTAGGCATACTTTTAAATGATTCTTCCACATTAATTCTCCCCTAGTTTGTTCTAGTGTGAAATTTCAAGATCCAATAAGAAACTGATACGGTATTTTACTGACTATTATGTCAGATATCTGAAGCACGGTTTGGGTATAAGCGTAAAATAACAAATCGCGCATTAGGTTGCCACTCCAATAGAACCTTCGAATTGTTTATTGTAACAGTTTAACAACTAAATCAAAAAATGCTCATAAAAGAATTTCGATGTATTGGTATGCGCTGAATTACTATTACTTTACACCTTATGCTGCTAATGTTAACCCGAAATGCCGACGAATTTGATGTTGTGATGTAAACACGTATTTTGTTTATTATTATTGAAAAATAGAAATATATGAAGGAAATATTGCCTATCACGTGTTGTATGTCGAATCATAAATAAAATTTATGTTCTTTTTACATTTTCCGAATACTCTGTGCGATAATCAACTGTAGAGTTTTAAGGGAAACTTGAGATGATGTAAGATAGTGACGTTTTTAATTTATTAGTGAACAACACGAATTTACTCAAACTTAAGTGGATACCAAATGACTTAGAAAGCAAAGAAAATCTCTTTTTTATCGATTACAATTCTTGTATTATAAATTATATACTTTTAAGTTGAAGCACAAGAATCACTAGTTCAGATAATGGGTTTTTGTAGGGATTTGAAATAGTAATTTCAATTTTGATTTCGCGACGGATCAACATCAGTTAGAGGTCAGTGAAAGCTAGGGAGAAATGGGCAGTCATTTCGTCATATTTTGGGATTGTTTGGCAGTGCACACCCAAGACCTTAACAGGCATCAAACCTAAGACATTAAGGTCGTGAGACTAAACTTGTTGACCATTTAGCTACTTGGGTCGGAATTCAGCGACCTATGAATTACAACTCTGTCAGTTTGTAATACAGCGGCACTTTCAGACAATACCTCGGTGAGTATTCAACTCAGCTGGACATGGTGGACCCAACCTTTCAGTACAGCTTCGGGACATCCATTCACTGGCCATTAGTGAGCTGGAGATTGATGCTTAGATTATTGGTGCTCACTGACCTCTAACTATTTTTGATTCGTGGCGAAATTTACATTCAAATTATTCGAAATGTTGTTTCTCTGTCTAGTTAATTGTAGTTTCATACATTTATTCCCCTTAATGAATTTGAACAATGCAAGAACTACAGTTTTAGCAGAATAAAATGGTACCATCTTTTATTTCGTTGCCTTCTCGTCAGCTGCTTACATGGCAAAGACATTAATAAATATATCTACAACAACAATTTTAACATACTTGCACAGAGTTCAGTTTAAACAAAAATCAATCGATCAATATACGCATACACTAAAAATATATACATATATAAATATGCAATATTAACCACTATTCCGAACAATAATAATCAGACACAATGGAAACTTTTAGCATTTCACATTCGGAGGAAAGAGAGGTGAAATTATCCAGTTACCAGAGCAAAGAAAGGCTGATAACCGCTTCTTTCTGGACGCATAAATCAGGTTTCATGCGCTTGATGGAAATGGCTTCAGCAAACTTAAGGAGAATTGAGCTATTTTGCTTATTGATAATTTTGAACGACTTTTCAACGTCCACCTCATGACCCGTGTCGAGAAGATGCCTGGTGATGGCACTATTTAAAGCATTTGTTCCCTTTAGACGTAAGCTTTTTGGTACATGTTCAGAAAATCGTAGATATGCCCTTCTTTCTGTCCTTCCAATGTAACTGCTCCCGCAGATACATGGAACTATGGAACACGAAAGTGACGGAAAATTTCATTTCCTCGACATAGCCATGGAACGCCTAGAAGACGGTGGTCTTCAAAAGTCAATTTATCGAAAGCCCACATGGAAAGGACAATACTTACATTTTAATAGCTTTTGTCCACATAGCTCTAAACGTGGTCTGGTCAAAACTTTGTACTATAGAGCGAGGAGAATATGCTCTACAGAGAAACTAGAAGAGGAGTTTGAGTTACTTGAAAATATATTGAAGAGAAATGGGTATCCTCAAAGGTTCATCAACAAGTATGGAAGATCTGAAGTCAAAAGAGTAAAACAAATCACAGTGGAAAAAAAGCCAGTCTACCTTCAGCTTGATTACAAAGGTGAAAATATTGCAACGATGATCAACAGAAGGCTGAGTACATCACTAGCCATAGCGTATCCTGCAGCTAAGCTCGTTCCCGTCTATCGAACAACTTACTCTTTGGTGCAATCGAAAATCGATAGATATCCTTCTCATGTTACCTCCAACTGTGTATACAAATTTACATGTATCTGCGGGAGCAGTTACATTGGAAGGACAGAAAGAAGGGCATATCTACGATTTTCTGAACATGTACCAAAAAGCTTACGTCTAAAGGGAACAAATGCTTTAAATAGTGCCATCACCAGGCATCTTCTCGACACGGGTCATGAGGTGGACGTTGAAAAGTCGTTCAAAATTATCAATAAGCAAAATAGCTCAATTCTCCTTAAGTTTGCTGAAGCCATTTCCATCAAGCGCATGAAACCTGATTTATGCGTCCAGAAAGAAGCGGTTATCAGCCTTTCTTTGCTCTGGTAACTGGATAATTTCACCTCTCTTTCCTCCGAATGTGAAATGCTAAAAGTTTCCATTGTGTCTGATTATTATTGTTCGGAATAGTGGTTAATATTGCATATTTATATATGTATATATTTTTAGTGTATGCGTATATTGATCGATTGATTTTTGTTTAAACTGAACTCTGTGCAAGTATGTTAAAATTGTTGTTGTAGATATATTTATTAATGTCTTTGCCATGTAAGCAGCTGACGAGAAGGCAACGAAATAAAAGATGGTACCATTTTATTCTGCTAAAACTGTAATTGTAGTTTATTTGTAGTATGTTTGAAATTAGAGAAAAACTTACGATTTCCAGTTGTTGTAAGTTGACATAACATGAGTCGGAACTAGGGAAGGACCGGCGCTGATCTGGTTGTGTTTCTTTCCAGCGTCGGTGGCAGAGAGGTAAGAACTCTCACCGACCATGCACATGGTTCGAGGTTCGATACCCTGCCGACGCACACCTGATATCTATGGTCGGCCCCGCAAAATTTGGGCTACCGATATCACATGCTGAAAATTCCATACTTGTAACAAAAATACAGTGTGGAATCAAGCTGTAATCAAAAAAAGCTTCGCACCACACAAATATTTTATACTTATTCCGTATGAGTTCTGTTTATTTCCATCCCAGAGAAATATGACCAGTTCAGGAGTAACTCTGATCATCGTTCCGATAGATACATGAGTAGTTGTAATAGCAGAGAATGAATCAACCTAAATTTGTTCAGATGAATTGCATAAAAATCTCTTCTAGTTAAAACAGTGATATGGAATAGACAGTATTACTTGAAATTATTTGCCTCACTGATATCAACAGTGTTATAATGAATGATGCATCGGTGGTATAGCGGTTAGGACGCTCGCCGACCATGCATATGGTCCGGGGTTCGATCCACGGCCGGCGCACTCCTTTACCTCACTGAACCAAAAATAATGCTGGTAAAGAGGAAAAGTTGGGCATGAGGCTAGCAACC